ATCAGAGAATTATTATGGAGGCAGCTGACGTTACTGAAAGAATTTGCTGCATACTCGCGAACTACCATTCCTGTTCATCAATAAGGTGAGAACCAGGCCAGTTCTAAACCTAAATATTCTTGATATAATTAAATTAATTTAAAAGTGTACTGTAGTAGTAGTAATAGAATATGTTTGCAGTCATAATTAGGACAGTAGCACACACAAAATAGTAGCTGTTCCGTGCTCCGGAGCCCAACTGAACTCTTCCAACCGAGCCAGGGACGGCTAAACATTAAATAATGCTGTTCAGTTGCTTAATGCTGTTCAGTTGCTTTGACACAATCTGTATTGTTAAAAGCGCTATATAAATAAAGGTGACTTGACTTGACTTAAACGAACGGAGCAATCACACTAGTCAAACGAACCAGGCTTTGGGGGTCAAACACACTTGGGCATGGTTCAAAGGGCCTAGTGTGAGCACACCCTTAGATTGTCCTGCTGTTTATAGTGATTGAAATACTATGGCAGACAAACTTGCAGTTTGTCCACCTATCTTTGTTTTTCTTCTTTTGAGAGATTATCTAAATATTCCTGGCTTGAAACAGATGGAAAATTGACAGGCCTGCGCTGCAGTTATTTGAATGGTCTGGTCTGGATGCCAGTCATGTGATTGAAAACTATGGATATGAGGGGCTTTCAAATTCTGTGTTGGACAATGGGGTGCCTTCAAGTAAAAAGGTTGAGAACCACTGATTTAGCACATGATTCTTCTTTATTCACTCATTTAGCACATGATTCTTCTTTATTCACTCATTTAGCACATGAAGACTTCTTTTATGATTATGGTTTTATGGTACGGTTTTACTCTTAAGAGAATGGCAAACATTTTTCAAAACTTCTTTCTTGTTCTACAGAAGAAGGAAAGTCATACAACTTTGGAACGACATAATGAGTAAATGTGGATAGTTTTCTCCAAATGATGATGGTTTCCTCCAGTGCGTTGGAGATCTCAACCCCAGCTAGACAAACACTGGCCTGTGCTTTGAGCCAGCGCTCAATCCTGCCAATAGCGGAGCTCTGTGATGGATGTGTTTTGCCTTTCCAGTCTCCCAGCACCTGGTGGGATTCCCGAGTTTGTACAAGGTGTATCCTATTCTTGCCCCTGGAGTTGATATTTGCAGTAGCGTGTGGAGTGAACATCCTGACAATGGATGTGAGAATACGACGGTGAAAAAGACAGAAAGCTCACAGACCAGTGAAACCCAGTCTGGGTTTGGAGGAAGATGGCCTTTAAATCACAACCTGCAGCTTTACAAAACTTGGAAAGGTCAATTTTTATGGTCTCTGTAGGACAACCCAAAAGATACCTAACGTATCCGTTTGGCTGGAAAGTGAATTATGGATTCTGTCACAGGTGACATAAGTAGTCTTCAGAGGAGGCATATTAGTGCATAACTCGAAACATGCGCTCTTTGAGAGAAGCCATGCTTTTTTTTTAATTCTGGGAGAGAACTGTCTCGTGGGTTTTCATATTGGACTGTCTTAGCAAAACTGGGGCACGGACTGAAATCCAAAGCTGTTTCTTTGTCCTCAGCTGTGAGGTTAGACCTTGACTCCTGAGAGTTTTCCCTCAGCTTGGAGGAAATCATCTCCCGTTTTGCTTGAGTTTCCACAGGGTCTTATTTTTACGCACTAGAATTACTTTAGGCCTTTTCCTGTGGGTGATTCCAAACTTAAGCAGGTACACTCGTTCATCAGCCGTGCTGCGGCATTTTTAACTGCTATCTGCTAAACAGTGAGAGGAAAGAGGTGTGGACCTCGCTCCGTTTCGTCTAGTGTTTTACGAGCAGAGGGCCACAGTTTCAGCTGGGAACACAGTACCTGCTGTCAGGGGCTTTTTTTAAATTGTATTTATGGACATTTATGGCCTTTTTATGGAACTCCGTTTCGTCTAGTGTTTTACGAGCAGAGGGCCACAGTTTCAGCTGGGAACACAGTACCTGCTGTCAGGGGCTTTTTTAAAATTGTATTTATGGACATTTATGGCCTTTTTATGGAACACTGTCAGGAATGTGATGTATGTTGGATTCGAACCTGCATCCCCATGAAAGAACTGCAGTTCAACACATGTGCTAACCACAGACCTACTGTCAGATTCTGAGAGTTTTGCTGAGCTTCAGATGGGTTGAAAGAGAAGATTGGTTCTACTATATATGGTAGAAATCAAATTGCTTAAAAGAATTGTATTAGCAAAAACAAACTGCTATTTGCTATTACTAGTAAAAAGGTAGTGGTACTGGGCGATAGACACTCTCATCATGCAATTTTAATTGACAAAATGTTATTCATATAAAGGAAATGAGCATCAGTATTTCTGGTTAAGGGGACAGCTCACCTAAAAAAATAAAAAAATTATTTACTCACCCTCATTTAATTCCAAAATGACCTGAATGTCTTTTTTTATGTAAAACACAAATGCAGATACTGTATTCTGAATGTCAAAGTGGGGTTCAAACAACACTGGATCTCATCGGCATTCATTGTATTGACAAAATAATAATAATAATAATGATGATGATGACGATGATAATAATAATGAACAAATAAAATAAAACAACTATTCCTATATTGTTTAATAATATTTGAACTATATTGTCATATGAATTAAAAGCATATGTGAAACATATTAAATTGGAACAATTTCATATATTAACATATGTCTAGCCCTTACAAATATGTGTGTTATACATTTCTTGACATATTTTTGACATGTATATGCATATCCATCATAAAACTTGTCTTTAAATATAGGCCTATAATGTTTTAATAAAGTTGCATATATATAAATAAAATTGACATATGATTGCTATATAAAAGCATCATATAGACAGCCTATTATTAACATGTACATATACACATTTTAATATTGGGATGTTATATATGGTTTTTTAAATATAATTTATATCTTTATATACCATGGGAATGTAGGCTGCATATGTGAAAATTCTATATTGCCTTACAGGTAACATATATAGGCCTATGGCAATAAATCTTGATATAAGGCAATAGGTTATAAATGACAGTTTTGTATGTGTAAATGCATCCAGTCAGTATTGTAGACCCAAGTCTAGAGACCCCTTGTGTAGCATAACGCAGCTACTCTGTCTGGTCTCTTATCAAATCATTTGGCGTTATGAAGCTTATGACTCATAGAAAGGAAAGTTTAAAAATACACTTTTTGATTTAGGCTTGGCCACTTTGACGCCACACATCACATGCTGAAGACGTTCATTGTGCAGTTCAGCGACTGAATGCAAATAGCTTTTTTTCCATAGCATCAACAATGTTACGTAATCAGCATGTGGTATCTATTTTCACATCATAATTTGAATATGACCAAAACACACTTGTTGTTAAATTACTCTTTCCAAAAAGGTCACTTGACAAGTTCCACGTTGTGAAGCAGACTGAGCGTCTGACTCAGTGACGTTTGCTCTGCTCTGACATTCATAATCCTCAATAACACACTGTACGAGTCAGTGAAGCCTAACTATACCCACCAACTCCAGACAGAAGTTTTGCCCACTGATGATAAAGAGTTCCTAACCTTTCAGACGCGACATCACTTTCCCTAACAAAACTAGAAAGGGGTTTTCGCTATCGGTCACAAACAGGTTAACTTAGGCAAACGAGGTGAGAGATGCAAAGTGTGTGCAGAACACCTTTTCGACCTGGCGGTTTACACTAAGAACACAGGTGTTCAGATGAAATTTGATTATTTTCAGTGTCTACACATTTGAAATAGTTGTTAAACAGCGGTAAGTTTAACATGAATACAGTAACATCAGTTTATTCAAATGTATACAAAATGCGCTTGAAAACAACATTCACGCTTTGTTTATTATAACAGCTTCATGATATTAGGCCTACCTAAAAAAAAAAAATCAGTTTTAAACCACAGAAAAAAAAAACTGGTGTGCTCTGCCATCTGCTGCATTTGCTTTGTAATGACCACCAGTTCGAATAGAATTAGTGATTTCAGATAGTAATACCAACAGTGCTGGATAGATGACTGATTCCAAATTACAGGACAAAAATTGTAGATAGTAACATAATCCATTAAATTGGGTAATATAACCAGATTACTTTTTGATTACTTTTAAATTACTTTTTATCCAACATGTTTATCAGATTGATTTAAACAGGATAATCTTGTACCATATTATTATACAAATTCAAAGAGAAAGAAAACGTATTCCATTCATTATTATTATCATCAACATGAAGTGCATTAAACATTATATTATCTCAAGGTTTCCTAAACTGGGATTCGTGAAGGAACTGCTGGGGGTTTGTGAGTTTAATGAAAAAAGATGATTTATGGAGAATTAATAAATAATGAAGAATTTATTGTTTTTGTGTGAATACTATGTAATCATGTCATCAATAAAAAGTAACTGTAGTCTGATTACAAATATTTAAAAATGTAAAATAATCTAATAACATGTATTTTGGAATCTTATTACATAATCCAGATGTAATCAGTTACTACCCAGCACTGAAAAAAAAAAAAGATATACATGTCTGTCTGAATATTGGATTCTGATTGGCTGGCAGGTATGCTATAACTGGCTATAACGCACACACATCTCTCTCGATCGATAATTAATTGAAATAAATGTGATCTTACCTCACTATTTCATCTCTGTCTGATTTGAAGCTGGCAGAATGCTAGAGCTAACGAGCCGTAACTGATGAAAATAACCGAAATTTTTACCCTTCCGGTCAAATATTGCGCTGCAAAGTACTAGTTTTAACTTGTCTATAACTTGGCAAATGACCATGGAATAAGCGGGATAATCAACGGCTTGCCGTGCATTAAAGGATTTTAAATGCACTTCACGTCGGGTGGTTCTTGGCCTCCACATCATGCATTTAAAATCCTTTAATGCACGGCAAACCGTTAATTATCCCTTACATATAAATATATGAAATATATAAAACAAGACACTCACAGGTTGTATTTAAGTAGGTATTAAAACTGTATTCAGGACAAAATGTCAAAAGACTATACAAATTATTTAATGTATTGATACACATCTGAAACGGAGTATACTGATTTTTGGCCCTCAGATAAAAGAACACAAATGCATTCACATTAGCAAGGCACCGAGTGTTACAACCTACTAAGTGCACGTCTGGTACAGTAAATGGAACAGACGGTTAATTTTGTTCCAAAACACTATATTACATGGTCGTCTAATTAAACTTATGACAGAATGACTAAATAAAAGGTCTCATGTTACGTATACATCATCCAATGCTATACAAATCCTATACAATCCACTGTTTAGATGAGTTGGGTGATTCTTTCTGTTGTTTGTAGGATATAGGGTTAACTGGAAAATCTATTGCAAAAGAAAGGTCATTTTGGGAAGAGGCTGTATGTTGAATGGCTCCATGGGCTCTTCTCAAAGTTTAGACTTGGCCTGGAAGAAGCTCATGATGGCCTGCATGCATTCATCTGAGAGCCAGCGCTCCACCAGTCTCTCCACCTCTGCGTCGTTCACGGCGTGAAGTTTCTCTTTCTCCACCACGCGGATCAGCTGCTTCGACAGAGCCAGAGACTGAAGAGGTACGAGAAAACGACCATGATTAGCATTGGTTTTCATGCAACAAGATCCTTTTACCTGAGAATGATAATAAGACTCATTTTTTAACACTAGTACATCACAATTCAAGCAGCCTGAGCACTTACGTTCCTGGGCAGTTTGGCATAGGCCTTCAGTCTGGTCCACACCTCGGACTGGAAGGAGCTTTCAGGAAAGACCTCGGTCACCAGACCCACTTCACAGGCCTGTGTGGCCGTCAGCTTCTTATTAAACAACAGCATCTCGCTAGCCTGAACAGAGAGGACAAACATACTCTAAAGAACATCTCTGAGTATATCTGAGCCGCTCAGAAGTGACGCACACGGAAATGCAGCGGAGATCAAAACAAAACAACGGTCACTAATTAGAAGTCCAAAATGAGGATTTGTAAAGAAGAATGTCGGAGAATTTCGATATAAGCCAAGAGGAGACTGGTTTTCCTTTGCTAAAGTAATGAAACTTTGCTTCCTTTGCTCCTGTTAACAAACGTTGGTTTTCACGAGACTCACCGGCGTATGCGCAATGCTGAACTCATACGTCCGGAGCTGCTTCCATGTAAAAGAAGAATGTCAGAGGATTTCGATATAAGCCAAGAGGAGACTGGTTTTCCATTGCTAAAGTAAGGAAACTTTGCTTCCTTTGCTCCTGTTAACAAACGTTGGTTTTCACGAGACTCACCGGCGTATGCGCAATGCTGAACTCATACGTCCGGAGCTGCTTCCATGTACAACTGTTGGCGCGGGTGAGTAAAACACAGCCTAATTTTAATTTTTGGGTGAACTAACCATTTAACAGAGCTGAAGGCGAAGTGTGTCATTTCTGTGCCATTAGTGCCACCAAAGAAATCAAAAATATTAATGACTGTTTTTAAACAGGTTTCCCCAAATGCTTTTCCACAATCTGCAATTGGTTGGCCGAACAGATAGCCCCGGCCCATCTCACGTCTTTGGTTGACCTGTTGCTGGGCAGGGCTGGTCTGTATGTCCAACCAGAGCAATGATTTGATTGCAACTCAGTGTTTACACTATTTTGTTAAGTCAACATACAAATGACTTACTTAAATTCTAATCACTTAGGGTGCTTTCACACCTGGCCCGTTGTTTCGGAACCTGGCACATTTCCCCTTTAGCTCGGTTCGTTTGGGCATATGTGAACATGGCAATTGCGCTCGGATCCGAGCCAAAACAATCGGTCTGAGATCGCTTGAACGAGGTGGTCTCGGCTCGACTGAAAACAAACTCTGGAGCAGTTCGGTTGTAGTGAGAAAGTAATCCGATCCAAAGGACCAACGAACCAGGCTATATCACAATGTATGAAGGGTGATTACGTAAGTTCCGTGAAAAGCAGTAGACGATATCTGTGGGTGAGCACGTCTTCGCCATTCAAAATCAAACAGCGCCGTTTTCATTTTATAATGCCGTCTTATTGCTCTTCTTCCTAGTAGGTGCATTTTAACAATGTTTTCCCGACGAATCCTGGACTCCTGCTCAAAATGATAAATTAATAAATGAATATAACGACAGCTACAAAAAAAAAACAACAATAAGCCCTCGAATAAGCCGTCTTTCCATCATGACGGATGACAGCTATGAGCGGAATTCCTGAAAATAAACCGTGGAACTTTGACCAGTCAGAGGACAGTTTACTCGTACGCGACTTGTATTAACAATTTTGGTCCGTTTAGAAACTTAGCCGTGTGAAAGCGAACCGCACCAAGAATAAAAAGCAACATTGTAATAATTTTAATCCCTGTTTCGGAACAAAGCAATCGATCTACAGGTGTGAAAGCACCCTTATAAACAAGACAAAAAAAACTGCTGTTTTCCTCCAAAATAAAAGCTTGATGGTTTAACATTTGAAAATGAAGCAATTAAGACAGCTGTAAATATTAGTATTGTAAATTCGCAGTTGTATTATAAAATACAATTGTTCACTGTATTATTATTATTATTTTTTAAATACTCCAATTTTTTTATGGTGAAATATTGAAATAAGCATATTTATTTATTTTGTGTAATATTTTTATTTAGTAATAGCATTTATAATAAAACAAATATTTATTATTATTATTATTATCATTTTATAGTCATGTTATTATATAAATCACAACATTTCTGGCCAAATTTTTCTGCCCTACAAATAAGTACAGCAAACCAAACAATCAGAATTTTTAGCAGAAAAACTGCAATTATATTTTTTTCCCATATCATGTAGTCCACTGTATATATATTAGTGCTGTTAGCTGATTAAAAAAAAATTGTACTGTGATTATCATTGTGATATTTTTTTTTATAATAAACTGATTAATCTCAAATTTCAGCGGATGTTCATACCTTTGCCGCACCCATAATTTTGGGGAAAAGATATGAAGAGCAGCCCTCTGGACTCTGACCCAGCTGACTGAAGGGTGTGTGAAACGTCGCCTAAACACAAAACAAAGGGACAGAAAGCCAAAATACATGCAGATATATAGATATAATTAAACAGACAAGACATGATGGATCACTGATATGCTGTAAGAAAGCAGCTCACCTTCTCTGTGGCATAAACAACATCAAAAAGTCCCAGCAGAGTGACTGACACCCCCACCGCCGGTCCGTTTATGACTCCAATCAGAGGTTTGGGGAAGTCAATGTACACCTTTACGTACCTCCTAAAACAACACAAGCACACATACGTCCATCATAACTTCCCATCAACCTCAAAAATACTATAAACTGGTTTAGAATCAAGCAAAATAGACTTCACCTCAGTAACTCCCCGGATTCTTTAGCCAACTTCTCAACTCCACCCTCAGGGATCTTTGTGAAGTTGTTCAGGTCGTTTCCACTGCAGTAATAATCTCCACTACCTTCAGAGACATTAAAAAGTGGATAAGCACATTTGATTTACAGAGGTATATCTGCACACACTGAAAGGTAAAGCAAAATACTTCACCTGTTATCACTGTAATGACAGAATCGTCTTTGCCAGCAAGATCCAAAGCTTCGATTAGCTCATTGTACATCTACAGGATGCAAAAACATGAAAGAATATTTTCTAAAAATGTCTAACCATCAGTGTTGCTACTGTAAACTAAAACTTAACGTCTTTTAAAAGTTTCTGTTATTTCAAATTAAGCTGAAATAAAACTGGATGGAAAAGATAAATTAAACTTCAAAAATTAGCACAAAAAAAAAAAAAAGCGTGAAGTACTAAAATGTAAACTGAAATAAAAATAAAGCTAAATAGAAATATTTAAAAAAGAGAATAATAATGGCAAATACATATGACTAAATTGCTAAAACTTATTAGAATTAAAATATAACAATAAAACCATTAAAACATTAATACAATTATAGCATATAAATAATACTAAAACAACACTGGCTCATAGTTTGTGTCAGTCTTGGCATTCTCTGGTCGAATATTTATTTAAAATTGACCACTGTCCTACAGTGAAAACTGACATCCTACATAAATATATAGTTTAGTCATGAAACTCTAGATGGCGCAGGTTGATGGTTAACATAACTGATGATATTCAGAGTTAAACGACTTGTCACAAGCTGATTGGTTCATGCTGCATATGCAGCCAATGAGTTTACTGCCTTGCATTTATATGGCTGGCTAGCATTCACTTGAGATTCCTGTAGCCCGCATTCAGAGTTTCTCTGAAACCCTCCACCTTCCCCAGCTCCACCTGATCTGCTACGGGTTAATTTATATGCTAGTTGTGCAGCAGCAGTATGTCTTAAATACTCATGGCACCGTATCGCCGTATGCATTGGCAGTAGCAAGTTCCTGTACTTGCTTGCAGCAGCAGCAATAATCTACAACTACAGCAATAACCAACAGCAGCAGCAGCATAGCAGGTCTATTCCGCCAAGACCAAAATACATTAACACTGTCATATCCATCACCATGCTAAAATCTTCCGAGAGTTGTCATGATTAAACTATTCGTTTTGAGCCTTCAAAATGTGAAAAAAAAAATAAAAATTATCCAAAGCAACTTCTTCACCTCCACAGTGATGGCGTTCTTTTTCTCGGGTCTGTTGAGCCGGATGGTGGTGATGTTGTCCTCTGTGCTGACCAGCAGGGTCTGGAAGCCCTTTGTGCTCCCGGTGGGCTGCGCTGCCACCGCAGGAGCTTCTGTTCCCACCAGAGACGAGATGAGATCCACATACTGCTGCCTGGCCTCTTCCTAACACGGTCACATTACCACATAAAACACTAGATGTATGCTGGACACATACACTGTGCTCGGTACATGCTCGCTCTTTATTTAGAGGTCTGCAAAACTATTAGGTTAAAGCCTAAACCTTGTCCTGAGACCTGAATGAAACCCTGTGGCCCATTATCAAATCCAAACCTGTTTTCAGCAATTTAAATAAGGCTGAAATGAAGTAAGATATTAGTAAGATAGATGAACGTAAACCTAAAAGGAAAATGAAAAGTCACAACTAACTAAAATAAAGTTTAATTTGAAGTACTACAATTATTAAAACTATAACTGAAATAAAAATCAAGATAAATAAAAAAAGTGTTTACAAAAAAATAAGAAAAGCACATAAAAAAAAAATAAATAAATAAAACATAATTACAATATATAAATATAAATATTAAAATAACAATCCTTCTATTGCTTATGAGCGTGAGCATGCAAGTTATATAAACATCAAACAAAATGCATATGCTTTAGTAATTAGATTTTTATTCAAATTTGATTTTCAAATATTTTTTTTTTGTAATTAATTACAAATTTGAACATAAAACCTTTAGTAATACATAAAAACTGACCCAAAATTGGGTTTTCTTTATATTCACTCTATAGTGAAAAATAAATATGATGTCAAAAAATAAATATGAAAAATACCTGTGACACGGGGCCTAGACTCTTCCACGCGTCCCATTTGGCTTTATTCACAAAGTCCAGCATGCTGGGTTTGGAGGTGTTGCAGGGTCCTTGTGTGGCCTGATCATTTACAAAACAGTCAGAAATGCATCATAATTAACGGACAATCTGGTCTTGTAGATGGAGTCAACAAAAATCTGTAATTGAAAGAGGTCTCTTCTGCTCACCAAGGCTGCATTAATTTGATCAAAAATGCAGTAAAATCAGTAATATTGTAAAATATTATTACAATTTAATGTTGAAAAAGTTGAATAAATTTAATGCATACCTGCTGGATAAAAGTATATATTTCTTTAAAAATCTTGGAAAGGTAGACTAACTTCATGAGAAATTAAAAACAATCGTGAAATCAAATCCAAACATATAGTAAACATATAGTAAAATACCTGAACATGCTGAACAAATTCATTTAAAGTAAATTAACTTTTATTTTTCACTTCTGAAGCCTTTTTTGTCCCAAGAGCGAGTGCATTTTATTAGTCCAGAGTAGGGGTGTGCGATATATCTCGTCTGCGATAATATCGTAATTGTTGTTTTAACGATGTGCGATTTGACATTATCGAGTATTTTGCAAAGACCTTTCAAAACACCTCTACAGCATGATTCAATCTAATAAATGCATTTAGAATGATCACAAAATTCAAGATATGTGGACAGAAAATGTATATATTTATATAATTTCATATAGTTAATCAGTATCACACAGAGTGCCGCTTTTTTCTCCAAAAATTACCATGATTACAAATGTAATATTGATTTTTTAACTACAGTTCAAAAAACAAGAAGTTAATTAAGAGACTTACGTTTTAGACACCATATTGCTTGTTTTTGCTCTATTTCGACAACAAAAATAATTCCAAACACAGCTACAGCGCAGTTTTGCATCTCTGAGCAACATGACGGTGTTTCGTTCCTGAATTAATCTAGGATAGCTAATTATAGGAAACACTGGCATCAATAATCAATGCAAAGAATCTACTTTCTCCATAGATTGAGGTAATTTGGAGCAAGAAAGCAGATTCTTGTATTGCTTTTTATGTCTGTAATCATGGGTGTCTTGCAGTACTGTAATTCGGCTTGGTATATGAGTCTATCTGTTAGTCTAAAAACAAAGCTAATGAACTTACTAAAAATGTGCTCCAAAATTGTGGGTCAGCCACTTCAAAAAGCATATGAACTATCTTACCATAATAAGATTAGCTAATAACATTGTTTCTGAACCTAATCATGTGTTGTATAATGAATTTGTATTGTTGCCATCTAATCGACGATATAAGGTCCCAAGATACAGCCGAATTAAGTTAAAGAATTAATTTGTACATCAAGCTGTATTAGCGCTGAATAACTCATATAAAAAAAATTTTTTATGTATGTGTGTGAAAGCTCTGCATTCCGTGTTGTTTATGTGATCAAGTATTGTAACCTTGAGTGAACCTGCTGTAACGTAAGACAAATTTAGACAATAAGTGTATCGTATCGTATCGTATCGTATCTAACAATGCCTTGGAAAAAACAGTTCATCTTAAAAAATAAAGCATATACATAAACCCAAACAGGACAGGTATCGAATGCAATTCGGTGTCCCAAGCTCCTGAAACATTGGCGTCTCGTATTTTAGAGCAGTCGATGCAATTTATAAAAGAAATCAATCAAATTTGCATGTGTGATTACACCAAATACACAAAATAATGTTCTTTTTAGCAGCATCATATGACCCCTTTAAATGATTCGGTTCAATTGCAATGACTCACTAAGTAACAGTGACTTGCTGCCACCTACTGGTGGTTTTAATTTCACATTTAAAGTTTAAGAGACCAGCACAATAACACACTCAGCAAAATATGCTTGTGGGAAAAAAATGGGAAGGTTACTTTGGAAATGTAATAGGTTACAGATTACAATTAACCCTATTTAAAATGTAATAAGCAACTATTTCAACAATATAACTGATTGCATTTGATTACTTTTCTAAATTTAATTTTCTCTTTTTTTCCCCCGAAACTGTTGATCATTTTGAAACATGTAAAGCAGGCAGGGTTAACCTTACAGTAGAACTCAACACTGTTCTAATGAACGTTTTCAACTGTTAATCGTTTTCAAACATTTAAACCAGGCAGGGTTAACCCTACAGTAGTACTCAACACTGGTTACTGTCAGACTTTCAAAATCCTTCATCACTTGAATTAAGATTATAATAATTGAATTTTAAAGCACAGCCACCACAAAATCAGACTTTAGCACCTCTTTTTACTTTGAGGTTGATCTGAGGTTAAATACAGATTTAAAATCGTAAGATATAGTTTAATAGTTGATGTCGTTTTTGAAATCAAATCTGAATTATAGGATAGCTAATTATAGGAAACACTGGCATCAATAATCAATGCAAAGAATCTACTTTCTCCATAGATTGAGGTAATTTGGAGCAAGAAAGCAGATTCTTGTATTGCTTTTTATGTCTGTAATCATGGGTGTCTTGCAGTACTGTAATTCGGCTTGGTATATGAGTCTATCTGTTAGTCTAAAAACAAAGCTAATGAACTTACTAAAAATGTGCTCCAAAATTGTGGGTCAGCCACTTCAAAAAGCATATGAACTATCTTACCATAATAAGATTAGCTAATAACATTGTTTCTGAACCTAATCATGTGTTGTATAATGAATTTGTATTGTTGCCATCTAATCGACGATATAAGGTCCCAAGATACAGCCGAATTAAGTTAAAGAATTCATTTGTACATCAAGCTGTATTAGCGCCGAATAACTCATATAAAAAGTAAATGTCCTTTTTTTTATGTGTGTGTGTGAAAGCTCTGCATTCCGTGTTGTTTATGTGATCAAGTATTGTAACCTTGAGTGAACCTGCTGTAACGTAAGACAAATTTAGACAATAAGTGTATCGTATCGTATCGTATCGTATCTAACAATGCCTTGGAAAAAACAGTTCATCTTAAAAAATAAAGCATATACATAAACCCAAACAGGACAGGTATCGAATGCAATTCGGTGTCCCAAGCTCCTGAAACATTGGCGTCTCGTATTTTAGAGCAGTCGATGCAATTTATAAAAGAAATCAATCAAATTTGCATGTGTGAGAAAATATTCAGATGTAACCCCCTTTGTAATTGTTAACATTTTCAAAAGTAACTAATTTAATAAAAAAAAAATTCTCAGTAACTGTAACAGATTACAGTTACATTTGTAATTAAATTACGTAATTCCGTTACATGTAACTAGCTACTCCCCAGCACTGGTTATATTGATCATTTCTCACCTGTTTAAAGAGTGCGTAGACCTTGAGTTTGACTTCATTCCCTGGATCCTTCTTCAGAGCTCCTAGGTTTTCTTTGGCCGCGTTGAACTCTTCTACTGATGCTCCCATAACTGCAGCAGAGCTGTGCAGCGGAGCACACACAGCTTTACTCGCTCTGGACACATACCAGAAATATATTACAATTCGGTGTCCCGGTATGTGCTTTTATGTGAAAACATGAATGAGAGGGTGTTGTGTGTGAAGTGTGTGAGAGCTGAGGATCTGACAGACACCATGATGTAGAGTAAAGGTCAATGCAAGCTCAAGGTGTTTCTGTTGCGAAGCACATGATGTCCAGAGCAATATGGAGATGATAATGTCGTGCATCTAGAAACTGTTCAAAATCAAAATTACACATATTATATCTCTAATAAGATCTCTCTTACCTGGCGAATCGGTAAAATCTCCAGGGCGAGAGAAGTCTGATCGCAGCAGCCATAACCCTGACGCAACGTAATAGCTGTGCGCTGCTGTCAATCATCTGTCAGATCATCTAACTCCGCCCACTACACACATATCAGCCAATCAGGCACCATCTTATTCTCACTCTCTTTTTCTCAACTTGAAATGTATCGTTCAAAAACAATTACTGCCGCCTCCTGGTTGGAGGAATCGGATTTGCCTTTTAGATGTCGAACTGCTATGGATTGAATTTTAGCTTGGAGGAAAGAATTCACGAATAATGTTCTGAACTCGGGTGTTCGAGGAAAAAAAAAAAAAACGCATTTCACTCAAACCATCTTCATAAGTGACTAATTGAATTACACGTTTTTTTTTTTCTCAGTAACTGTAACAGATTACAGTTACATTTATTTTGTAATTAAATTACATGATTCTGTTACATGTAACTAGTTACTCCCCAACACTGATGTCAGCCGCATTACAGCTGGAATAAAGCAATAAGCCCCAAGAAGCCGTGGTTTACAGTGAATTTATAACAGCATCGTGCCTACAACCCCCTTAGCTGTTATAAATTCACTGTAAACCATGGCTTCACGGGGCTTATTGCTTTTATAAAATGGTTATTCCATATACGTAGTTAGGTTTCACAAAATAAAACAGAGCAAATAAAATGTAATGATATTAATAAAAACAGTATTCTTCCACCAAACAATGTAGTTCCTCAGAAACACATGTGGTTGCAACAAAGTAGTTGCCGAGCAACACACAGAAGTAAACAAAGGTGTATGTTTGTAGAGTAATTTACAACAGCTTCGAACGCGGCTCAGCCAATCAGAATCCAGGACCGGAACTCTCCGTTTTATAACTGACAACAAATCATACTCAACCATTAAATTCAATTTGAAGGAATTTAAATCAACATTCGAGAACTAAATATATTTAATATATTATCAACAGTAGTATAACAACGATCAATGGCAATTTTCTGGCTACAGAAAGAACTGTTAACTTGCGCTTTTAAGTTGACTTGTAAATGTATTTCTATTATAAACTAGCCTACAATTTCTGTTGAACAGAAACAGCTGAAAATCGAACAGAAATTGTTAATCAAATATTATTTCTTAAAATTACTTGAATGTTAAAGGCAAAATGACTCTATTAAATTAATGAATAATGAATAGGCCTTTAAATGTGGCCAAACTACTCAAAATTAAATACATTTAATTTACGTTTTAATTCAATCTTTATATAAAACAATGCATGAATGAAATGTATCTTTAAATGGGTAGAACTGGTGTAGCCTATTTAGTTTCTGAATTGTGATCAAGTAGTTGCTGTTCATTGTAAATATTTAATAATATTTGGCATAAAAAGAATTCAATCTCTTGACCAGTAATCAGCTAAATAATGTCTCTCTAGGTGAAAGCCTGACAGCTAGTGGTTGTCTTTGTGTACATGTATGTACAGTATGTATGATGCCAGGAATAAAGTCAGTCTTGGAATATGTACAACAGGGCCATCTACTGGTTCATAAAATGTACATAAAGACAACAGGCATACTGTACTGGAAGAAATTTGACTAAAAACTGTTCCCTAAGCAACACCAGGTGACAGAAGTTTTCTTTTCTCTTTTTTTTTATAGATAAATAAATGTCCAAAAATAAATTAATTAATTAGCAAACAAAACATAAACTAAGCCATTTGCAGAGAACGAGCTCCTCAATTCTCAATCCAACCGAACAGAGCCATAAAATAAAGCAAATCTGGAATCCAAATCTCATTACATGTTTAATGACCACATACACCTAAAAATAGCCATACAAATCATCTAAAGGCTTGTCTGTTTAAACTGTGTAGACTAAATATTTTCATTTATGCTTTTTTTTTTTGTTTAAAAGAAGAAATCAGATATTTTTTGGTTGATTCACAATTCGGATGACTTAACTATTACAGTAAAATGTGAAAACGGTAATAACAACAATAACATAAATGAGCAGTTGGTTCAAACTAGATGTGAATGGGATGTGCATAGACTACACATAAATTATGAATCAATACAGTGCTTGGATTAGCCTGCCACATGCATGCAAGGCACAATGAATATAATGTACAATCAGTAATGAGAGAAACCTAGTTGCGACACACCCCAAAGTAAAAATTGTGAGGCCATTATCACTTACAGTTTTCATAACTCTGGGTGTGTTGTAATTGAAGACGTTTACAAACTAAAGGGGTTTGTTACAGCTGAATGCAGCTCCCACTGAACACTGTAGCCTGTGTTTTATGCATCTGATGTCCATGTTTGTAAATTAGATTGATTGAAATAGACTTACAGATGATAAATGTGACTCAAGCAGAGGAATGATGAGAAGACTTCATGGCTCCATCGTTTGGTGAAAATCAGCCTTCAGAAAATGTTGATTCGATTTACAGTGTTGCCAATTTAGCAATTGTGTTGCTAGATTTAGCAACTTTTCAGACAACCCTAGGAACTTTTTTTGTTTGTTTGTTTTTCAAAAAGCACCTAGCAACAAATTTAACTATTTTTATCTATCTATCTATCTATCTATCTATCTAT